TATTTTTTATTTTCAAATTTAGTGGATAACAATTGTAAAAAATGAGTGAAAACAATCCCACGGACAATGCGACGGATTTAAGGTTATGTCAAGGTACGTCTCTTGTGAATATCAATTGATTGTTACTCTTCTGAAATTAAATTATGACGCATTCACATACATTATTAATACAAATACATTAATACAGGGCGAGACGATGAGGCAACCACAAGCACTGGTTCAAGAGGTCCACGAGGGAAAAAAAATTCAAATTTCTTTCTTTATTATTTAGCGTAAGGAAATGTAACAAAACGTAATCCTGAGACCCGAGACTCATGAATGCGATAAAATTTAAACAAAAATTATATTAATAAAGTTTAACCATTATTTTTAATGATTACACTGGGGAAATTTTTTTTTCTTTCTATTGCACGAGATTTTTTAACACATAGTACTTCCGCATCACTGATTTCAAATGTAAAATTAGTTTTGCTCCTAAAGCTAAAGAGTTTGCTTAAATGACATAGTTTATTGTTTTGTCAAAATGTACAAGTTTAAAAACGTTATATATAACAAGTTATAAACGTTGGGGTTGCGTAAATGTTGCGATGAACTTCTGGAGGGGTTAGGGCATATCATCAGGACTAAAATTGCATAGGAACCCATGTCCTGAGTTATCATCATGCACAGCAAGGGGTGCTTTTATATAATAAATTGCTTCTTCCTGTACTTTTGAACAAGTCACAACAAGGAAGGGCCCCTAGCTGTGTACGATGACGTTTATCGGCATGGGTTCCTATGCAGTTTAGCCTTGATGATGTGCTCTAACTCCCTTAGAAGTTTGTGCAACATTTGCGCTCTCCCCTGCTATATATAACTTTTTTTTTTTAACTTCTACATTTCAACAAAAAATGGATTAAATCTGTTATTCAAACAAACTCTGTAACTTTGGAAGCAAAACTAATTAGAAATTTGAAATTTCCACCCGTAGCTTAGGCAAGAACATATGTATTATGTTTTTGTACAAATACAAATTTATATAAATGCAACAAAAAATATTTGTATGAATGCAACGAAATTTGTTCCCTAGTGTTATTAATACAGCATAAAATGTTAAATTTTAATTTTTAGCAATTTTTTTTTTTACATATCATAGGATACTTGATAAAATATTTATTTGTCATATAACTGCCCAAAAGGTTACTTGAATCAAATTTCGTGTCTTTCAAATAATTTTTCATTGCGATGAAAATTTCTGACTAGCGAGAGTAAACCAACTATAATTTAACAAAGACAATCAATTTGTTAAGGCATACAAACAGAAAAAAAAATTATGAAAGATTTTTTGAGTGTTAAAAATTATTCCAAAATGTGTCCAATCTACTGGACATTGGATCCCAAGAGGTTAAATAAGTTTTAACATTTTCAGATGCCGTGTCTTCTGCCTAATCAAAAATATTACATAATGCTAAAAATGTAAAAACTATTTGATTTTAAACATTTCAACCCATTAACACTATTCCTTAAACAAAATAGAGCCAAACAGTTTGCACGAATTTGAGCAGATCGATAGAAAGAACAGGCACGTGAGCAAAACACTTCTAGCCCCAAAACGCGCTGTGCCACGGCATCACTTGTCATAAGTCAACCTGCCAATTTCCGGGCTGGTAGCAGTGAGCTAATGACCACACTATGAACCACAGACATAACTCTTGCTGGCAAAACCGCAAGTCCTGCCATGAACCAACACTTATTAAATAATTCCAACAACAATTTCAAATAAAAAAATCACTCATTAAAAATTAAACCATAACTCATTTTATTTTATTTTATATCCGTCGTTGAACAGCAGACCCAAATTTTGGGTTTACGACTACTAATGCTCAACTTCGTAGCCTTGTAATTTTGAACCAATCCAGAAGGCAAGGAAACTCCTGGATCAGTACCCCCAGAGATATTGATTTGTTATGAACATGGAGGATTTCGTGACTCGACAGATTTAGCGTGCATCAGTCACCATTTACTACACGGGGAGTCATCGGCCTACTGGGATCGAATCCACGAACTCTTGGACATGGGCCCAGTGCCCTACCAGCCAGGCTATCCCGACCTTAAACCATAACTCATTAAAGGAAAAAAAATTGGTAAAAAACGCATCTAAAAGTTCAGTTAGGCAACAGTGGATGGTTGATATAAAGGAACAGTAATACTAAGGCGTAAGCACTCGTTCTTCTGAGTAGACTATACACTCTTTTGACCGAGGGACAAATAGGAATCAACGAGCTATGGTTAATCTTTAAGCTAGTTGTGTTTCTCTCGTTCGTAAATTTGCAATTCACGCAGCATCTTTTGTTTTTACAATGGTTCTGTAGGTAACCTGATAGATGGCTTATGCATAGAGGGTTTTAACAGTCAGTGGTTCTATTCGGCAAAATTAAAAGGAACGCAGAACTTGCATCGAATTTAAGCAGAGATAATATGCTCAATAATAAAGCTCAAATTGAACTGTAAGCTTGTGAACGATATTGTGGTTCAACGTAAATCAAAATTTTTAGAAGTGTAGTTAAATTTGATAATTATGGGAAATTCCAAATATATAGGCAATATTTTCATTTCCGGAATTTCCTTATTTCTTCCGACAGAATCTGTCCACTTTATTGCTATTAAATTCTTTTAATTAAATATTTTTTCGGATATCTTGTTACCTATTAAGTACTGATTTTTCTTTTTTGCTCACTATGCTTTTCTTCAATTTCTTAAAACTGAGAGAAACGGATGAGAAAAATAAAATTGTTCTAAACATTTATGTAAAGAGAAAATGAATGAATGGATATTTTTATTTTAGTAACAAGCTCAATCTTTAATACAATATTCATCTTTACTTGCTGCAAAATATATTGATTACATATGACATCTAAATACGAGGAACTGTGCAAGCATTTTCTAATAAAAAGTAAACCGTTACATTTTGAGTAAAAGGAAATATAATTGTACACAATGATCGCAAAATAGTATCGGGATTTTGGTAGTCTTATAACCAGAAATTTTAATACATTAGATTAAATCATTTTAGACACTCATTTCAGACATAACATGAAAATTTTTTAAATTTTAAATAAAATTACAGAGATATGTTTAAAAAAGTTACCTAGTTATTTGTCTGGTGTATATTTAGATAGCTATTTGCTTGGAAATGACGATCTGGATATCAAAATTTTAAACACTTACCCTAATCCACAATTCATCATGTAGGAATCATTATATCCTCACAGTCGAATAAAAAAGCCAAAAAGGCCTGCTTAATTTGTATATGTTCTACCATCATTAAAAACATAGTAAGTTAAACTTTTGCCAGTAGAATTTTAAAATGAGCTTTTTTAAACAAGGTGAAGCTAATTTTGTGTTTATCTATTGTTTATTGGAATTATATACATTTGCAGGCTTGTGTACTCAACTTAGGCTTATAAACCTTAGATAGCACAGATAGCACAATACATAGAAGGACAGCACGAAGATACATCCAGGGTATTCGAACCCACTACCTCCACGCTTTGCAGCGCGTTTGACGGGCAATGCCACTCGGTCAGGTAGGTCCGTGTGTTTGTTTATTTAGTGGCACACATATATGCAGGTGTGCTTAATTACTTAAGTACGACGTATAAGCCTTCGTCAAGTATAAAGACGGATAGTATAATTCAGAGAAGGACAGCACGAAGATACAATCAGAGTTATGGCTGAATTTGGACCAACTTCTCTCTACGCTACATAGAGTTTGGCCCCATTTTGTGTTGATTTAATTTGTTTATTTATTGCTAAAAAAGATACGTAAGTTTGTGAGTAAACTTGTATTGCTACAGATACTTATGCAAGTATGTAATGCATATGCATTGCAAAGTAAGGTTTATGAGCCTTTTTCATGTTGAATAATAGATAAGATGTTGAATAATAGAAAAGTTAGCAAAGAATTACAAAGCTGCAGTAAGAGTTACGGTAGAATTCGAACTAGCTATCTCCATGCTACAGAGCATTTTGTGGATTGTAAGACTGCTTTACCTGGAAGACTCTTTATGTGTTTATTATTCATTTATTCATTCATTGTTACAGATGCATCCGTAGGCTTTTTTCTCATTACATGTTCCACCGAGTATTGATCGTAAGACATGGTTCCAAGTAGATTACCGAAGTAAAGTATCACTGGCAGCATTCAGAGAGTGAGTGTGTGTGACATCTTGACCAGCCTGCAAAGAAACCGAGATTGTGCGGTATTGGCCATTGTCAAACTTCCAAAGCAAGAGAGCCATTTCCTCTGACGAAGATCAAAACTGTGGTATGTCTTCGGATTATTCTCAGACATGTTTTCCAGGCCATCGCCAATTGTCAATTGTCCAGCTTTAGTGCGACATACATGAAGTACTACTACTACTGCTCATTAGAAAGTGCCTTTATAAGCTCATGCCAAGTTGAAGATATGATTGCATAAGTTAGAGAAGGTCATCATAGGGATACATCCAAACTTGAAGCGAGATTCGAACCTGCTACCTTTACGACACAGAACGTTTCCTGAATCAGCAAGGCCGCTCTGTCTAGGAGACTCCGTTGATTATTTCGACAAACTTCCAATTATCTATTTCTTGCGAAATTAAAAAATGTTCACTATGGTAAATACGTTGCGCAAAGGCACTAAGATTTCAGACTACGACAGATAAACTCCTATTTTTATATACTCAAGTCATAGAATTATCTCATCATACACAAGCGTCCAGCAGTGGATTGATTGTAAAGACACGGTTTCCAAGAGAACGCTAATGTCAAGTATCACTGACTGCGGTCAGTAAGCGGGTGGCTGACGACTTTGATCAGCCTGCATAGGGACCAATGGGTGAGCGGTACCGGTCCGCGTTAAACTGTTCTGCCGTCAAGTGATCGAATTCGCCCGCAAGTTGTCAGGCTACCAAAGCAGAGGAGCAATGTCCTCTGCAGAGGATCAAAATTACGATGCCATGTCTTCGGATCATCCTCAGGGATTTTCCCCAGATCATCGACAATAACCATATTGTGCAGCTCTAGTGCGACGTAAATAAAGTACCTACCTACCATCATATACAAGCAAGCGGTGAATTGGTGCTTGATTTAAATAAGACCAATTTTTTCTTTGGTCTTTTAAACATCACAACAAAGAAAAGAAATTCAACCCTGTTCCAATTTATATGCATCTTTTCATAGATATCTTTCTTCCATTTTCATGAAGATCTTTGGAAGGGCACATGATCGAATCCGCGATCTCTTCATGATCTTCATATATACCAAACTTGCACTAAGATAACAAAATTTTCCAGTCTTTTAACCCAGTGGTGCGCAAACTAGGGGTCGCGGCCCCTGTAGGGTTCGCCAGAAGTTTTTGGGGTCGCCAAATTTTTATGAAATGCATTATCCCTGCATGCTGCATACCATACAGTGTACATATAAAGAGTGAAGCACAGTCACTCATTGTTTAATTACAATTTCATGATGTTCTCTTTCTTTGACCGTAATGCGTAATGTATGTAAAGTGTGAAGGCGCAAGTTTTTCACTCCGGTAGATAGCGCCCTCTTCGCGGTAATTCGCCAGTTTTACTAAAAAGCGCCTATTTGACTAGACGTTAACTGCAGCGAAAGGGCAAATATTCGCTTCTGTGATCAGCCAATCAGATGGCGAGGTACGCGGTGTATCTGATAGTCAGAGTGAAGACGTGAAGTGTTCGCATGAAGTTGTAGCATGTAGCAGTTGGCCTGCAATTGTTTTAGTTTATCCTCGAGTTATATCATGTGACGTTGTGTGTGCGGCATCAGTCAGATTAACTGTGACTGTGTATTAACTGTTTAGTTTTAGTTTCAGTTTGCATTTATGTTTAGTTTCAGTTTGTGTTTGTGTATCTTGTTAGGTTGTCATTAAATGTGTTTGCGAGATGCTAGATCTTGCTCATTTATTTAATAAGTATTGAAGTAATACTTAACCACGCAGTGTAATTTTGATTTTTTATATTTTTATCGGGCTTTGCTACTCTTTGTTATCAGGTATGTACTATCATTAGAGAAAGATCTCTGTTAATTTTATTGAGTTTCTCGAAAAAAATGATAAAATTTTAGATATTATTTGTTTTAGTTTAAATAATTTAACCTCCATCTTCATAATGGATAAATGGGTAATACGTACACCAGGTATATCTTCAGCTAACAAACGAAGAAATACTGATGAGGAGTCGCAAAATACTGAACTAAATGCCCGATCTAAAAAAATAAGAAAATACAATGAGGAATTTATTAAGTATGGTTTTACATTTTGTGTTGTTGATGATGAAGAACACCTGATATGTGTCATTTGCAACGAAAAATTAGCAAATGAGAGCATGAAACCAGCTAAATTAAAAAGGCACCTGGAAACTAAACGTAAAGAACTTCAAAATAAACATGCCGATTTTTTTCAAAGACGAGTTGAAAATCTTAAAATTCAAAGTGCACATTTAAAGAAACTTACAGCAATACCTCAGAAAGAATTACGAGCTTCTTTAGAAGTTTCTTATCTAATAGGAAAAACAATGAAACCCCATACAATTGGAGAATCCGTAATCCTTCCTACAGCAACTAAGATGACATCAATTATGGATGGCGATAAATATGGAAATGAATTAAAAACAATACCATTATCAAGAGATACCGGTGTCTCGGCGGATTTCCGAAATGTCACGAAATATCGAGTCAGAAGTCATAAAACGCATACAAAATTCATCTGTATTTGCTTTACAACTGGACGAGACTACCGATATTACTAAAATGTCACAACTAATTATTTACGTTAGGTTTATTTTTAATGAAGATATAACAGAAACGTTTTTATGTTGCAAAAGTTTGGAAGGAAAAACAACTGGAGAAAAAATATTCGAAGTAATAAATGAATATTTTGAAACAAAGTCCCTTACCCGGGCAAACTGTGTTGCGGTTTGTACTGATGGTGCTGCAGCATTAACAGGTTCGAATAAAGGGCTCAGAGGCTTAATTCAGAAGATGGCTCCTCATATGGTATTTAATCACTGTATGATTCATCGGCAAGCTCTTGTTGCAAAAGATATGGATGAAGAGTTGCACAACGTATTACAAGACGCTGTTAGTTCAATTAACTACATTAATTGCAACAGTCACAACAGCCGTCTCTTTTCAATACTTTGCAATGAGATGGGCTCAACGTATGAGAGATTACTGTTACACACCGAAGTCAGATGGCTTTCATGTGGGAAAATACTACGACGGATATTTGATTTGCGAAATGAAGTGTACATGTTCTAAATCGAAAAGAAACATAGATTGGCAAGTTATTATATCAATGAAGTTTGGCTAGGGAAGCTGAGCTATTTAGTTGATATTTTCGAAAAACTTAGCGACTTAAATTTGAGCTGACAGGGTGAGAATTCAACTATCATAACTGCAGCCAGTAAAATTCAAGCTTTAAAGAATAAGCTTAGTCTCTGGCAAACTGATCTGAATAAAAACAACACCGACATGTTCCCTTGCTTTAACGATTTTATCAAGGAAAATAATATAGATATATTTAAATTTAAAAACATCATTTCCAATCACATTGAAAAGTTAAAAATTTTTTTTTCGAGAAGATTCGAGGATTTTCATGAAAACGATCTTGGTTGGATTCGTGATCCATTTTCCTTTGACATATGCAGTTCAACTCTTCAAATTAGTGAGAAAGAGCAATTGATTGATCTAATTAGTGATTATACTCTTCGAAATCAATTTAAGACTCAGCCTTGCCAAAAAGTTTGGCTATCCGTGGAAAAACAATATCCCGTTTTATGCAAGAACGCCATCAGAGTGTTAATACAATTTGCATCAACGTATTTATGTGAAACTGGATTTAGTAACCTAGTTTCAATAAAAACTAAATACCGCTCGCGTTTAAACCCTGAAGATGATATGCGAATTGCAATTAGCAACATGCATCCAAACATCGATGAGATAATTAGAAACTTGCAGCCACATACATCTCATTAAAGGGCAATTTACTGATTTTTGCGTTATACAAAAAGTATTTTCTTAAAATTGTAAATAAAATTAATATAAGTCAAATATGATGATGTTTTTATTCGATGAGGCGAAAGAAATGCGCGAAATATACATCATATTTGTGAACATTTATCTCTAGGGGTCGCCAAAAATTTTCTCTCTACAAAAGGGGTCGCAGTCGAAAAAAGTTTGCGCACGACTGTTTTAACCTATTACTTTGAAATCCTTTTTGTCTAATGCTTTATCAAACTTGTTGCAAGAAGATAGTACAAAATATTTTAATTGATGAATCTAATGCTTTTTAATCTTTATTGTCTAATGCATCTAACTTATACTAAGAAAATAGCAACTTTTTTTCGAGTCATTTAATTTAATGCTTTTAAATCTTTATAATTTACTG